AAATATCCGGAAGTGGGTTACTGAAACATCAACAGAAGATACTAAACGAAGAGGTGCCTATCTACCTTTGAAAACGATGACTCTCCTGTGGTCAGACACTGGATAGAAGTTTATTCAAAATCCAAGTGCTCGGGGAACCGAGCTGGATATGATGTCGTGTCGTGCAGATAAAGGCCATGTTGGGAAACGAAGCCGCCGGTGATAGAGTTAGTCAGGCACATGAGAATACTTAGTCCACCATTTTCGCCGTAACTCACGGGATGGGTGATGACTCTCCGTTAAATGTAGTCGTAGGTAGGGGGTTGGCCTTGCTTGGGGGGATATAGTGCACTAGGAAGTCCTGAATTATGGGTTTGTAATACCGAAGAGCAGCTTCTTGGACAAAGTCATACACGATGTTGAGTAGAACCGAAAATCAGCTGACCACAAGCTTGACCAGCATCCGACATATTCTAGTGAGATTCCAGGCGTCCAGTGGTTTGACAACAGCTGATCGGCAAATGCTACTTTAAATGCAATCCAGCCGCCAGAGTTCGTCTGGAACATGAACACACTGGGTACTAAAAATTGTTCAGACCTATCTTGCCCCCCACATCATACTACTCGCGACGAGTAGTGACAGTCTGCTTGGACGAGATGATGCCCTGTCGAGCAGCAGCTGCCAACTTTGGTTGGAACCCAACCACTCGGTCCGTTTTGGAACTCCGAAAACGGGCCATCTTCATGAAGCTTTAACTGAGAGGCTAACTAATTCGCCAGTTTTTCCCCTCCTTACTATTAAAACGAGGGAGCAGAATTCCAAGGAAATTAACACATGCCACACGCCATGCAAGTGCTGTGGCGTCTGAAATGTTTATTTTTACGCCCAGCACGTCCGCTCAACATGCCCCAATACGCATAAACCAACCCCTCCCCACACATCAACCACAGTGCGCCTGATTCGCAAGATATTGATCATATCGATCAATTGTCTTCATGCTCCGCAGCGTGCGCACCGCTGAGACAGCGGTTATTGGACTCTCAACTGCGTGTGGTGGTGGTGCATTGTGGCCCGTTGCCCCATCGGTGTCGGGACTGATTGCGCCACTGGTTGAATAAACAGATGCACACGTTCAGGCTCAACTTCCCGCATGCAAAGGTGATGTCGTCTGGCCTGGTCATATCTGTCGCACAACCGGGACCTAATCAGACAGAATGCACAACGTTTTTCCGAAAGAAAAAAGGCCAGAATTGTTGACGCCTTTTTGTCTGCTGTTTGATGCTCAGCTATCACGACTTGTGTGTGCACCAGAAACGGCGTATTTCTGGAACCATTGCTGTTTTGTCCACAAAGGGGAGATGATGATGTTTATTCCAAACCGCCTCTCCGTCCGTGTTTTAATGAGATTCAACCTCATTCTTCGTCACACTCTTACGAAGTACTTAGGACTAGCTAACACAAACGACCGCCAGATATCCAGGTCGTTCGGAAATGATCAGCAGAGCTCACACCTCAAAATGTCCTCAGGCAAATGACATCAATCACTGTTGTTGCTTGTTACGGCACTAGTCTGTATGATGTGCCGACTGCTTTACTCCAGACAGAGTTGACTTTGTTGATATTGTCACCACTAGCTTGCATATAGTAAAAGTTCGTCGCACTTAAATGGTCTCCTATGACCTCACACAAAAATCAGTTCATAGCACTTCTTACTTCAGGACCCGCTCGATCTTCCTTCCGTATGTTTGAATCCAGAGTTTTGAGCACATCACTGAATTTCACATGATACTACTAATCCACGTTTTTGGGTTTATCCAAGTCTAGACAAATCGTTTTGAAGGTAATCGATTATTGGTCAATTGGAGGACGATCGACTGAGCAAATAGGCTTACCCAATCAGTCAATTCACTCTGCGTCAAGCGGTTGCAAACCTACCTGCACTCCTCA